ACTGTTCACATATTAGCTTGTTTGTTGACATACAAACTCTCCCCTGAGGACTCTGCTGCCGACTGAGAGCGTTAAACTGCATGTTAAAACATTTGAGCTGCAGACACGCCTGCTCCTCTCGGCCCGCAGCTACTTTCACTTAAACACATATTTACACACGTTTGTATCAGATTCAGTCTGCAGCTGGAAGTGTGTCAGAGTGTGCATGCTTCGTTCAGTCCTCCAGGAGACAACAGCAACACAGCGAGGTGGAGCTGCAGGAGAGACTGAGGAGGAATGTGAGGAATGCAGAGCCCCAAATGAAATCATGCATTATTCAAGTGAAGCAGGAGGGGAAAAAAGGACAAATTCTCTTTTTCTCCTGACGACAAAGACGAGGTTAGAGATCACGTTCAGCTGTCAGTCGGAGCTTTTATCAGGAAATTCATGGGGCCGAGCTCAGAGTTACCAGTCCTGTCACGAAGCGAAAAACAAAGGCATTACACTAACACCCGTATCCCCCGTGTCCCCACAACACACTCACACACACACTTACACACACACACATACACGCACACGCACACACATACACAAAATGATAAACACAAACAAACTTCACTCCCTCTAACTTCTCTAACAGGCTCATCAGCAACAACAGAAAACTAAACTGATCGAGTGAAACTTTGCTTCTTAAATTTAGTGGGCCACAAATGTGTTCAGTATTTCAAATCAAGCTGGTGTTAAATGTTAAATGGACTTGAGCTTGTATAACACTTTTTTAGTCTTCTGACTACTCAAAGCTCTTTTACACCGCAGGTCACACCTACACATTCACACACTGATGGTAGAGGCTGCTGAGTAAAGAGTCCATCAGAAATAACTAATCCCATTCATACACTGCCGACAAAGCAGCGGGAGGAACTTGGGGTTAGGTGTCTTACCCATGGACACATTGGACATGTGGCTGCAGGAGCTGGGTCGAACCCCCGACCTTCCAGTTGAGAGCTGACTGACTCTACCACTGAGCCACAGCTGCCCCTGTGCTCATTACTGCTTTCCTACAGCGTGTGCCAACAGCACACAAGCGTTGGACATCACGTCAGATGGTGCAGCATCCGAAGCTGGCTGTCCACACTGCATCCGATAAATATTAACAAACTCTGCTCCCAGAATTTCAGTTTCCCATTAAACAGTACGACATCTAGTGGTTTTATGTTGAAAGGTGGAGAAATGGAAGTGTGGACGTTGAAAAACGCTGGTCTGAAGTGAAGTGGACACCAAAGTTCGGTCAGGAGGATTTCTTCAGTCTGAGATAAAACAATGAATCACAAACCCTTCTAAACTCCAAGGGTGTCTGAAGCTTTGACCTTTACTCTCCCTCCAATGCATCTTGCAAGGTTTTGTGTCAGGCAGCAGACCGAGCGAGAGAGGGTTTGGGCCGAACAGTTAGCGAGCTAAAACAACAAGTGCATGGACGTTAACATTTACATCCTGTCAGGGAACAATTGGTTTAAAAACAAACAAGTTTTCTCCCTCTGACAAGTGGAGTCGACTCACTGCCACACACACACACACACTCTGGGCTCCAGCTGATGGCGCATGAAGGGGTGGCTGAGCTCCTATATGAGTCACTGCTGGTATAATGGCTGCCTTCAGTCATGTAAAGCTGACAGGGCGGCCTCAGTATGAGGTCAGGGCGAGGGAGAGGTACCAGTCTCATTGCAGCTCAAGCTGTGCCCCCCCCCCCCCCCCCCCCCCCGTCATAACTCTGCTGTAATCAGCTGGCTGTAATTGAGACTCACTACACCATGAGACGCACGTTCACCCCTGGGCAGAGGATAGGGGGATGGTATCAGGAATCACATGCATCCATTCAAACAATGAAGAGTATTCAGATCCAGCTGTGAACCAACATCAGTGATAAAGACGTGAGCTCATCTCACACTAGGCCTGTGTTATAAGAAAACATGTCAACATTGTTTTATAATGTGATGCATATCAGCTCTGTAACTATGTTTTTTATATTTACAAAACCTGTTTGCAACATGTTTCTTCCAAAATGAAACCAGCAAAGTTTACTTTCACCACTAAATTGCCACAGATTAATGGAAGGTTAGCTGACAGCTAGCTGAAGCTTCATCTGGCTGTATCAAAATAGTGTGAAAGGATGGACATTATGCCCAGGTTTTGATCCAAAGGTTAAAACTAGGAGCGTCAAATGGTCGTGCAGGGTTCGGATCCGATTTCGGCCCTTTGCTGCATGTCATCCCCCAACTCTCTTCTCCCAACATGTCCCGTCTCTCTCCAGCTGTCGGGCAAAAAGGCTTCAAAAATAACTTTAAAAAAAAAAAATGTGGTTCAACAAGACAAGACCGAGACAAGACCAAGACCATAAATATCACAGAAAAATCATCAACTTGTGTGCAGCAGGCGCGTCACTCCCTTGGAAGGTTGCAGCCGTAACCGGGGGATAAAAATTAAATTATGCATGAATTGAAGTTAATCGTTCTTTTAGAAAAAGACGTTTCCCTTCTGATCAAAGTAATGATGTGGAGAAATAGCAGTCAGCAGCATCAGCGTTGGTCTTGATTTAAAATCCGGAGTGCGCCCCAGTCCAAGACCGAGACGAGACAAGAGTAAAAATGCTTCTGATTCCGAGACCTTCAAAAAGTCATCTCGAGACCAAGACCGATTTCAAGTACTCCAACACTAGTTCCTGCCATTAAAGGGAACTGTTTGAGTGTAAACTGAGTGACTCCTGGTCACACTGCCGGTGCAGCTCTCTGAAAATATCCTCACATGACAATGAATGATGAAACAGTGAATCAGATGAGAGAAACCAGACTTCAGTGTTCTCGGACTGATTTTGTCATTCGAGCAAACCGTTCAGACAATTCCTCTGCGTTGTCATCTCTGGATATGACGGTTCTAAACAACTCAGAAGCAGAAGGGGGGGTGTTCAAGTCATTACTACCAATCAGCCCAAACATAACCTGAATGTGTGTATCAAATGCAATCGTATCCATTCAATGTATGTATAGTACATAACAAAAGTTGCCATCCCTGAATTGCATGGCTGCACGTAAGAATTCAGACAATCAAGGCTGTCACACAGGTTGTAAACAAACTCTGAATGTAGTCATTTAATCTGAAAACACTTCACTCAGAGGTGGAACAAACCATCATTTCGCAGGAAACTGTGAGCGCAAAACTATGGCAAGCCCTGTGGGTCAAATGCTCAGCAGTGGAAAGTCAGTCTGTGTTTACAGCAAGCCTGAGTATTCATATTTCTTTCTTCTCACGAATACAATCACCAAGATGACTGAATTGAACTGTGTTTCAAATCTATGAATCATGGTCAGAAATGTAGAAGTTAATCAGGATCATGTCAAAAGAAAAACCCTACAAGAGTTAAATTTAGAGACAGGAACAAGCTCAGCATGCTGCTACAGCTCAGCAGACCACAGCAGGTTCATTGACTTTTTGCACTCCGAAAATAAGAGAAATAAATGTTCTCATTTTTAATTTCCCCAATGACGCACGCTAAATCCAAATGATGATTGAGGAGTAATCATAGGAGGTCTTAAGGTTCTAGCTAAAGGAACAGTTGGTAACATTACATATCTGCACAGTTACTCCTGCATAAACCTTCTTTGACTTAAAGCTCCTGTGAGGATCTTTTGATTTGTGCAGAGTTTGGCACCCCCTGTGGACAAAATACCAATATGCAAATAGGGCCTATATATTTTATTTCGAGATAGGACAGTGGATAGATTCAAAAAATCAGGGAGAGAGAGAGAGTGGGGAATGACATACGTGAAAGGAGCCACAGGTCGGCCACCCACCTGGAGGACTATTGCCTCCGTACATGGGCCGCGCACACTAACCACTAAGCCACTGGCGCCTGCCTCTAGCCCTTAAATTACTATAGGACTATTTAAAATAATTTCATTATTTTAAATTTAGTCTGTTGAATTCTGTTGTGTTGTTCTCTTGTGGATAGACCTTAACCACCTTCAGGGACAGTGGGGGTCCAAAGTCCCTGGCACACTTATTTTGGAGGCATGCGCTGAAAAGTTTGGGTACGAACTCCTGCTTTAAGTAAAGAATCTGCATAGTTTTTTCCAACACTTTGATTCCTGATTGTATACATTTATTTCAGTGACACTCAAGCACATTTTTAACAAACAGTTAAAACTTTTACTTCTACAAATGATCCGCTCATGCATCACTCTCTGGAGACACCGAAAAGACCCTTTCAGTGTGAGCCTTCTGTGATCCGGCGTTTATGCAAACATGAGGTGTTGTTGTGAAGATGATAAAGATGATGCTGTTATTTAATGCCATGGCAACCACAGTCCCAAACAGCCCCCTCACCCTCCCCCCACCCCCTCCTACCCCCCCCCCCCCCACACACACACACACACACACACACACACACACAGCTGCAAGCAGACCACTGTTACACACAGAGAGCATTAGCATTACAGTGAGTCCAAACAGGATCATAACACGACTCCTGTTAGATAATGACATTTATAACTGATTAGAAACGATTTTTCTCAGTTTCAAACTTGAAGCGACGCTCTTAAAAAAACGTTTTTGATGACATTTAAGAAACATAAAAACAGCCTTCACTGTAGCCTAGTTTAACAGCAGGTAGCCGATACAGTTACACCCACAGAGAGGCTGAAAACGGTCAAACTAAAGAGGGAAAAGAAGGAAAAGAAAGGTAAACCACTAAAGTCTGAAAACAAAAACGACTCGGAAAGACTACAAATTCAACAGAGACCGATCTGATCTAGATTAATCGTCATTTTCGCACAAACAGACTCCTCAATCTGCACCAGTGGAGCTGGATATCCACAGGGGAAAAAGTTGCAGCTCCTTCTTTGGGGCTCCAGGATGGAAACGGTCGCCTCCAGGTGGAGCGACTCGCACATTTTCAGACTTTTCAGTGTTAAAGGAGAGCCAAAACGACTTTAAACTAAATGCATGCGAAGAGGGAAATGTCAGCTTACCTGGTCGAGAATTAAAAGTGCGTTTTAGTCCCATGAACAAAGCGATAATAAACCCAACGCGCAGAGTTCTCGCCGCTGTTCTCTCCCTGCGCTGCTGGATGTGTGTGTGTGCGGATCCGCCGGGTTCTCCTGGAGGAAAGCAGCCGAGCTCCGGCTGATGTCACCGGGACAGGGAGGAGCCTCGCCGGGCCACAATTTCCATAAGGGCGTGATGTCACGAGTTGGAAACACTCTGGCTCCACACACTGGAACAGAAAATGTGATTTACACGACTGCAGATTCACAGAACAGAAACCCCACGGGGGGTCATACCAGCACGCGGAGCCTGCTAAAATGAATCTGATTTTAGGTTAATTTAGTTTTTCTTATTATATTAGTGTGTATTTATCATGTTATAATAATCTTAGGATTGTCGTGATACCAGAATTTTAAACTTGGATATGACTCTATTAAAAAAAATTAAACAATATAGAGAGGCTATCTGCTTTTATAGCTTGGCAACACAAATATTAAGTCACACAATTTTGGATTATTTCTTGTTTTTCATTGCCAAAAAAAACTCCTGCACACTAAATTGCACAATACTTTGGCAGCGTCCGTAAAAACTAAATTGCACAATACATTGGCAGCGTCTGCAAAAGTTCAAGTTGCTGATATCTTTTCAAAGCAGTATGTATTTAATGCATAAAAACTAAATATATATATTTCTAACTGAGGCCTGTGGTGAGGGATTCAAACCTCAAACCCTCTGTATTGGCCTTGCACACTGAAATTATGCTTTATTTTTATTTTTTTTGCAATATTTAAACTGTGTGCAGGAGATCTCTTGCAATGTTTGATGGACTCATTCCTCTCCTGTAGACACTCTTCTCAACAAATAAATGCAGCGTTGGTTCTCTTTGATACAATTGATCTTCAAAACAAAAGAGATAGTGTCCTTTTAAAACATGGTGTCGTAAAGTTCTGAAAATGTTGACAACCTCAGGACTACTGTTGTCAGATAAACCTGCAGCTCAAGCCCGTCCTCATAGCTCAGCAGGTCTGATATGAGCGGTTCTGTTCAGTTTCATGTTCGGGCTCTTACAAAATGCCAAACTGAGACACTTTTTCATTCTCTTTAAATTGAGTGACAGGCTCCAACAAACGCTTCACAATCCATACAGTGGAACAATAACAAACACCAAATCTTATCAGAGAAGAGATTTGTTTAACAAAAACACCCGGCACGGCACTTTAATAGTTTATGCAAAACCTTATAAAGCCCATTATCACAGAGAGCTGAGGTGTCATGGAGATATCACCATCTGTACTGAATATCATGGGGACCATTTTTCCTTGATGTCACTCTCAGGGTGGGGAGCTTTAAATGATGTAACTGTCATACAGGTGAATTCCAGGTTGGAGCCGATAAGTTTAATAAAAGTAGAATCTGACAATTATTATTAGTTCACTGCTTTGAGATTGATCAACACATTAAAAAATAAAACAGTGAAATCCAGATTAAAAATGTTCATAGTATAAGCAACAATATATTGAACAATTTATAGCTAATAGACGACAGATAATGTCAACAAATTACAGTTTTATTTGGAATTTACGGCTTTCCTATCCCACTAACAATGTGAAACTGTGGCGTCAGCATTTAACCACTTACTACTGCAGTTTATAAATACCAGACTGTGTTGTTAGTATCTAAAGATTCCATATTGTTCTTATTTTAACCCTTCATGTTGTCAGTCTGTGAAACCTACACAGTACCTTTGCATGATTTGCAGTTAAAAAAACTCCTTATTTATTTCATACTGGCTTAAGTATAAACTATCTGCCTGAATTGGTTTGTTTCAGCTGCTGTCTCTTTAAGGCCCCCCCTCCCCATGTGCCCCCTTTCTTGTGATTGGACATCTCTTTTGAAGCCTTTCGGGGGGCAGAACACTGCAGGGCTGTCAAAGAAGCGCTGCTCTCCAGTGCTGAAAAAACAGCCCTGTAAACAGCTGCGCCGACCATAGAGGCTTGAACACATCGAAGGATGGGGTGATGTGGTCACAGGGGCGGGAGAGTGTGAGAATGAAAGCAGCAGAATTGTAATTTTTGTTTTGGATGATGAACCGTAGATGAGATTTGTTCAGTCGCCCAACCATGAAGTGATGCGTGCGTGGGAGTGGGTTTCAGCAGCTGATCCACAACTAGAACACTGATGTCCTACCGTCATTACAGTGAGTTATGATTTAATCTTTTCTTAGACTGATGATAGCTACATGCCAACTTCTAGCCATTGTAACCCTGAAAATACAGAGAAATCAAACTCTGAATGTCACAGAAGTCTGGCGTTTAAAATAAGTTGGTTTGAGCGGAGACTTGTGGATGACTGTGTGAGGTTCAATCACTTTAAAGTGTCTGACAGAATAATTTATGTTCTGCAGTGGGAAGTTCAGAAACAGAATATTAAACTTTGATTCAACCTCCACAGAGACGTCGCTTCAGAAATAAGACATGTTATCTTTCCATGATGTAGAAATAAATCTAATGTCTGTTATTTCTCATGGACTTATAATTCCTTATTTACACTTTTGCTAAAATATTTTATACATCATTTATACCATCATTTTATACCATCATCTTATTAAAAATAATTCATCTTAAGTGCCTCACTGAACTGAATCAAAACCAAGTTCATGGATGAGTAAAAGTCTTAAAGGGGACATATTATGAAAAATCCAGTTCTACAGTGTTTTTGAACATATATTTAGGTAACCTGAGTGTCTACTGACCCACAAAATGTGAAATAAATCCATCCAGTCCTTTGTTTGTAGTCTGCATAAGTCTTACAACACAGAGAAAAATGCTCCGTTTCAAATCTGCTCTCCTTGTGATGTCACAGTGGGATTCTGGTTAAAAAAAATCCCCTCCCCTCCCCTCTCCTGGTATCTCCACCCATGGACTCCACCCCCAGCCTAGAACAAAACTTTTGCACATGTCCGACATTTTTATTCTCGCTAGTGAAGGAGTGATGTCTACAGGGAAAGCTCAGGGGGGGCTCATTGCATTTAAAGAGGCACACACACCAAAACGGAGCGTTCTGAGAGAGCTGGTTTATACATGGTCACAAACCTCCTCTGGTGCTTGATTCATGTTATATTTTGACCAAAGCACAGCACAGATGTTTCATTTAGACCACAGGGAACTGTTTAAAAAAGGTGGAAAAGGGGATACTATGTCCTCTTTAATGTTAATCACGTCCCACAAAATGAACATGTTTCATCCTCTTCTCACTTATTTGTTGCTAAAAAGTCCTCTCTGTCATTATGTGTTTTTATTTTGTTATCAGAACATAAACAGGCTTTATGTTTCTGTTGTTGCTGTAGAGCTAAAAAAAAAAAAAAAATTCTGCAGAAATGATTTCATCTCTTTCCAAGGAACTTAAAAAAAACTTAGATTTATGGTGTCAAAACAACAGATCTTCAGAATTTTTCAGGTAGACATGATAATGACTTGTCAATCACAGGACATAACCATGGTTTGTATTTGGGCCCAAACCCATGTTGTCCACGTCTCCCCAGACATTTATTCAACCAAAACTTTGTTTGTTTTTTAAGATTTTTTCTCTCTACACAAATAATGAAAATCCCAAATCACACACACTTGAGGTGCGATGCGTTCCCCCGCTGGTCACATGTGATGCGCCATGATTTTCACATCTTGTTGTGTGTGTATACTTGAGATTATGGAGAAGAATATCTCTTGATGTGTGTGATGCTACCTGATTTTAAAACTATTTTAAAACTCCTGTAGTGTGAGTCAGGCTTACGGGAACATCAATCAGAACCAAATTGAAGGTGAACTTATCTGTGAGTTATTGAAATATTACTCGTAAACCAGTCTGCTAACAAGTCAAAAAGCAAACCGTACAGAGGGAGTTAAATATGTGTGTGAGTGACTGATTTGCTTATATATTGGCATTATGAGGCCTTTCATTCAGAGAGATGAATGACTTGTTGTAGATGCAGGAAGTGATCGACCCCGAGGCTCTGTCTGTGATAAATCAGTCTGGGTTCATTTCAGGCTCCGACAGACAAACAGGCACGTCCGTACAGCTAAATTACATTAGCAGAGCGCAGACAGCTCTTATACACCGTGTAATATTACCTAACAAATCACTCCATGTTTCATAACTCTGAAAGTAAGCCCGCTTCCATCTCTGCAGATGGGAGGGATTGAAACAGATGCACTAAGAATCAAAATCTGTTCATTTATATTCAGTGGGAAGAATCGCCTTGATAAAACACATCAGCAGACGTGGAGCGTAAGATTGAGGCTTGCAGGCAGACTGAAGACAGATTGCAAAAGACATCAAATAAGTTTCATAATATGTGTTAGCCCATGAAACAAATGGAGCCATTATTGCAGAGTCTGCACGTAACCTGCAGCTTCAGGCAAATACACCGAAGGATTCTGGGAAGTCTGAGTGAGAGAGGATGTGAGGCTTCTGTTCAGATAAGATGGAGGGAGCAACAGATCCCTGGGAGGGAAGCCAGGACATTTGGAGCTCCCCCTGCTGACTGGCTGCAGCATACGTTGTAAGCTCCGCCTCCTCCATGTTAACAGATGGGGGCATTGGTCAAACTATAAACTTAAAATACTCGACAAATACATTTTTCTCAAACTCGGACATGAATCAGCATGACAATAACTATAACAACAAAGCCAAAGGGTTCATCTTCTGAGTAGTTTTGGGCTTTTGGTTAAAAAAAAAGAGCGGATTCAGCATCATGATTGACAGCTCTATTAACAAATGAGGCTCCTCATAAAGATGCAAAAGTTCAGTTTCTTACTTATACAAACAGTGTGACGCAAAAGTGAACAAGTGTCAGTGTTTAAGTACCTTATTTGTTCAATAAATACAGTGTGCAGGACTTTGTCAGCATTGTTTGCGACGGACTGAACAGCAGAGGCGCTGCTTGCCAACAGGCAAGGCAGGCAATAGCTTGGGGCCCCAAACCAGTAGGGGGCCCCTGAGGGCTGACAAACTAAAACTAAAGCCGTGCCCCAAAATGTGCATTTTTTGCGACGACAGTAGGAAACCTCCCTAAGGGGGCCCCATCTGACAGCACTCGTTCTCTT